GAGGCTGGAGTGGACTCAATGGAGACTAGGGTTTTTTACTTTTTAGTTGGGTTTTGAGTTGGTTAGCGGTTACTGGTTTGAAACTTGGATATCTAAATGGACCTGAGTCCTTATGTTTATTGAATTACAGATATCCGTATCCGTAACTGAATCCTACACTCATATCTGTATCTGAATCCGTATCAAAAAAAATCAAAACCGGATCCGTATTCAAAACCGTATCCGCCCGGTTTAAAAAATTGCTTACCATATCCGCATTCGTTCGGATACGGATGCGGATCGGTTCGGATAAAACTGAACCGTTTAGCACCCCTAATGCCCGCTCGTGATTGAGGAGAGGAAAATAGGGAAAATGTTGGATTTAATCTAATAAATCTATTTGTGGGCACATATGATTAGTCAATGTGTATTGCTATCTTTCAGGATAACCCACTAAAGTGATCAATTAAGTTGGGTTAATTTGGTATTTAAATAAGTCATGGGGTTATATGTGCAGATACCAGATTGTAATTGTAATTTATTGAGGAGCTAAATTACAAAAATACAACATCTATAAATAAAGGGTTATGGTCCCTAACCTAGGGTTACATTCACTAATTCTCTACACCCCCATCTAGCTAGAGAAATTCGGTTTTAGAGAAACCCTAAGGTTAGAAGATCCAAAACCCATCTCAAGGTTCATCCATGGATTCAGGTATAAGCTTCCGCTCTTTTAATTCTTGTTAATCTCTTTGAATTAATCATGGCTATAGGCTTTTTAGATCTCAAGTTTTGGTTTAGATCTAACAAGTGGTATCAGAGCCACCTTGATTAATTCTTAGGGATTTAAGTTTTATTGGGTTTTTGATCTTAAATCTCTGGTTAAAGATTCAGTTTTGTTTTCGGATGAACAGTAATGTTCGGTGAACAGTAGAAAATTTTTTCCCGGGTGAACAGTAAAGCATTTTTCCGGATGAACAATAACTGAAAAATCGTCGGTGAACAGTACCTTTTTGGAATTTTTTGGATTTTCCTTTGATTTTTTCTTTAATTTTTCTTGGATCTGGATCAAGAAATTTTTTCCGATTCAGGATCTGGTTTTGAAAATAAAAATCGAGGAATTTTTTGGGTTTGGCGGCGGCGGTTTCAGTTTGAAACCCTAAGGGTTCATGGCGAAAATTAAGGAGGTGGTTACCTCAAACGAACCTCGCGTTCGTTCAATTTTAACCGAGCTTCGCGCTCAACGAACCTCGCGTTCGTTCTAAGGTGAACCTCGCGTTCAACTCAGGTGAGCGTCAAGCTCAATTTTAACGAACCTCGCGTTCGTTCTAAGGTGAACCTCGCGTTCAACTCAGGTGAGCGTCAAGCTCAATTTTTAACGAACCTCGCGTTCGTGCTTCAGACGAACCTCGCGTTCGTGCTTCAGACGAACCTCGCGTTCGTACTTCAGACGAACCTCGCGTTCGTACTTCAGACGAACCTCGCGTTCGTACTTCACGTACTTCAGACGAACCTCGTGTTCGAACTTTAGACGAACCTCGCGTTCGTACTTCAGACGAACCTCGCGTTCGTACTTCAGACGAACCTCGTGTTCGTACTTCAGACGAACCTCGCGTTCGTACTTCAGACGAACCTCGCGTTCGTACTTCAGACGAACCTCGCGTTCGTACTTCAGACGAACCTCGCGTTCGTACTTCAGACGAACCTCGCGTTCGTACTTCAGACGAACCTCGCGTTCGTACTTCAGACGAACCTCGCGTTCGTACTTCAGACGAACCTCGCGTTCGTACTTCAGACGAACCTCGCGTTCGTACTTCAGACGAACCTCGCGTTCGTACTTCAGACGAACCTCGCGTTCGTACTTCAGACGAACCTCGCGTTCGTACTTCAGACGAACCTCGCGTTCGTACTTCAGACGAACCTCGCGTTCGTACTTCAGACGAACCTCGCGTTCGTACTTCAGACGAACCTCGCGTTCGTACTTCAGACGAACCTCGCGTTCGTACTTCAGACGAACCTCGCGTTCGTACTTCAGACGAACCTCGCGTTCGTACTTCAGACGAACCTCGCGTTCGTACTTCAGACGAACCTCGCGTTCGTACTTCAGACGAACCTCGCGTTCGTACTTCAGACGAACCTCGCGTTCGTACTTCAGACGAACCTCGCGTTCGTACTTCAGACGAACCTCGCGTTCGTACTTCAGACGAACCTCGCGTTCGTACTTCAGACGAACCTCGCGTTCGTACTTCAGACGAACCTCGCGTTCGTACTTCAGACGAACCTCGCGTTCGTACTTCAGACGAACCTCGCGTTCGTACTTCAGACGAACCTCGCGTTCGTACTTCAGACGAACCTCGCGTTCGTACTTCAGACGAACCTCGCGTTCGTACTTCAGACGAACCTCGCGTTCGTACTTCAGACGAACCTCGCGTTCGTACTTCAGACGAACCTCGCGTTCGTACTTCAGACGAACCTCGCGTTCGTACTTCAGACGAACCTCGCGTTCGTACTTCAGACGAACCTCGCGTTCGTACTTCAGACGAACCTCGCGTTCGTACTTCAGACGAACCTCGCGTTCGTACTTCAGACGAACCTCGCGTTCGTACTTCAGACGAACCTCGCGTTCGTACTTCAGACGAACCTCGCGTTCGTACTTCAGACGAACCTCGCGTTCGTACTTCAGACGAACCTCGCGTTCGTACTTCAGACGAACCTCGCGTTCGTACTTCAGACGAACCTCGCGTTCGTACTTCAGACGAACCTCGCGTTCGTACTTCAGACGAACCTCGCGTTCGTACTTCAGACGAACCTCGCGTTCGTACTTCAGACGAACCTCGCGTTCGTACTTCAGACGAACCTCGCGTTCGTACTTCAGACGAACCTCGCGTTCGTACTTCAGACGAACCTCGCGTTCGTACTTCAGACGAACCTCGCGTTCGTACTTCAGACGAACCTCGCGTTCGTACTTCAGACGAACCTCGCGTTCGTACTTCAGACGAACCTCGCGTTCGTACTTCAGACGAACCTCGCGTTCGTACTTCAGACGAACCTCGCGTTCGTACTTCAGACGAACCTCGCGTTCGTACTTCAGACGAACCTCGCGTTCGTACTTCAGACGAACCTCGCGTTCGTACTTCAGACGAACCTCGCGTTCGTACTTCAGACGAACCTCGCGTTCGTACTTCAGACGAACCTCGCGTTCGTACTTCAGACGAACCTCGCGTTCGTACTTCAGACGAACCTCGCGTTCGTACTTCAGAC